CGAATCGAGAGTTCGTAATCCGCCCCCTGGTTTGGGAAACCAGATTTTCATTTCAAATAGAAAAAATTGGAGTGGACTGTTTTTCTTGGGACACCCTGTAAATGCTTCCGGGCCAGTCCAACTTCCAGAAAACTTCCTAAAATCCCTGCCGGCCCATCCCCCTTGCTCGAAAAATCACTCTCATGCAGCGAAAATAGGAATTTTTTGGATAGAACAAGGTGGACATGATGACGTCATCTGGGGTGCTTTATGGAGATTTGCATTATGTTGAGGCACCCTAGATGACGACATAAAAATTATCAGGCAACCGTGGTCACTTACGACAATTTGAACATCGATTTCGAAAATCCCAGGGGATTTCGACAATTTTTACAGGATTTCAGAGATTTCGAATTTTCGTTTTTCAACGCCGTACCACTAAGGATTTCGATAAATCTATTGGGATTTCGGGATTTCAAAAGGATTTTGGTTGGGATTTCAGGATTTTTTAAGGATTTTGGATAAGACTTCGCTCTTCGCAATCTCGAATGAATTTCGGGATTTCCACAGGATTTTTAAAGAATTTCACAGGATTTCGGATGAAAATGTATAGCGATTTGGGGAGTGAGTCGCCCCTCGCAGGCAACCTACCATTATTTATTTATATATCTATATTTTGTCTTAATACGGAAAAGGGTTGGTAAAACTGCTGTGCACCAGTCTACCATCAAGATGAGCATTTCTCTAGCATCTGTAATGACGTCACGAGGGTATGAGACTAGATAAATTTGTAGTAAAATGAAACTAAGCTATCTACCCTCTTTGTACAATTGATTAGTTCCATTTTTTTCTCACTTGTTATAGTTAATATACTTTTTCTATTTTGGTGTCATATCGAAGTCTTTTCGACACTAAAAGTAGTTTCGAAAAGAAGCTCTTTGTGACACTCCTTTTTTACTTATCGGAGGTTGGTGACACTGACTGACTGATGGCCATCAAACTGTCATTCGCTATTTTATAATAGAAGATTTCTATATTTGGCATGTAGTGTTACCAACCTAAACTATGAAATCAGGAAATATGAGAATAAAATTTCCAAGAAAAATTTGTTTTTTTAATTAAACAATACCAAAATAGAAAAAATAGTATAAAATATTCGTTTCATAAGACATTTTATCGCACTCGCCCTTTAGAAAACTCGCCTCCGGCTCGTTTTCTAATATAGGGCTCGTGCGATAAAATGACGTCTTATGAAACTTGTATTTTAATGTACTATTATCTCTCTTGCGTGACGGAAATTAAATAAAACGAATCGTGACGCGGGCTTAAAAAAATCTTATACTCTCTTATACAGTAAGAAAAGTATTAGCATTAGAACATCAGACCCAGATCAACATCTATATTGACGTCACACGGGAGGTTTCAAGGTTTTGACCATTCGCCAGTCAGTAACTTTTAACAGATGAGCAATGCATTTTACGTCATTCAAGATGCAGTGAAAGAATCACAAAATGAGAATTTTTCGAGATAGAAAGAGAATTTTTAGAGGCTTGTGAGGAAATTTTGTCTTAATACGGGAAAGGGTTGGTAAAACTACTGCCCACCAGTCTACAATCAGGATGAGCATCTCTAGTATCAGATTAGCATCTGTGATGACGTCATGCGAGTATGAAATTAGACAAATTTGTAGTCCAATGAAACTAAGCTATCCTTCTCTTTGTATAATTAATTATTTCCATTTTTCTCTCACTTGTTATTGTCAATATACTTTATCTCTCTTGCGTGGCGAAAATTTCATAAACCGTATCATGATGGCTCCATGAAAAATCACTCTGAAGTCTTGTAATCATAACTGCGAAATTCACACTTTTTTGACATTGCTTCGACAATTTGACGTTTTATGCGTGAATCAAACGTCAAATTGTCGAAGCAATGTCAAAAAAGACCGAATTTCGCAGTTATGAGTACTAGGCTTTATACAGATAGAAAAGTATCAGCACATGAAATTAACATCTGTAGTGACGTCACGCGAGTATGAGATTAAACAAATCTGTAGTTGAGCGAAACTAAGCTATCCTTCTCTTTGTACAATAATTCATTATTTCCATCTGTCTCTTTCTCATTACAGTCAATATAATTTATCTCTCTTGCGTGACGAAAATTTCATAAATAGGGTCATGAAAAATCACTCTTAGAGCAGATATTATAAAACTATCTTGACATTTAACTAAAAGTTAACTTCTGGAACGGAATGACTATGAGATGTGACATCATACCAAAAGTTAACTTTAAGGTATTTGTCAAAATAATTTTATAATACCCACCCTGATACCAAGGATGATACATACTACTACTATCAGATAGCCTATTCTCATAAGGCCTGTGTGGAACAAATCCCCCCCCCCCCTTCTCCCTCCACACTATAGCAAATCACCAGTTGTGACGTAGGCAGCATGTTATTTCTCGCCTTGACGTAGGCTGTTTAAACAGCTGACGACTTAGTTATGACGTCGGAAATGATGATACACCAATATGGCGGCGACCAAAAACGAGACTGATAAGCAATCCTGTAGGTGTGTATCATCCTTGCCCTGATACAGCCAGAATTTAGACGTATGACGTCACAACATAAAACTCGGCTGTAAACATGTAACCATCCTACCAGGGATAGTTACTGGTTGTAGTATGTTAGTGCATCTTTTTCTAATACACGAAAATGAGCATATGGGCAAAACAGCTGACTACGATTACCCACACAGCTCTTTCCATTAGAAATAGAGGATTGTTTTTCCTCATTTTGCTATGGTTTTCTCTGTTTTTTTTAGAGGTTTTTTGCAAAAAAAAAATCTTCACATGTGCACAAAAGTGTAATTTTATTTTTTTTGCATGGGGTTCCGATAAGATTCAAAAATACCGCAATCTATCGAAAATATTGGAAAATGGAGAAATAATATTGAAACTCGAAAACGCAAAATTTTGTAAAATTCAACAAACCCAAATAAACAACGATCATGGCGATCTGTTTTAGTCCCTTTGTCAACTACACTCCACCTGTTATTTGGGTAACTATGACGTCATGAATCGTAGTATGTGTAGTATGATGTTCACTGGTAGCTAAAATACGTCTAATTATCACATCAGATTAGCATCTGTAGTGACGTCACGTGAGTATGAGATTAGACAAATCTGTAGTTGAATGAAAGTAGGCTATTTTTCTCTTTGTACAATTCATTGGGTGGTATGAATAAAAATGAGCATTTAGTTTCTACTCCAAATTTTGGAGTAAATACTCCACGTGGTATGAATAAAAACTACGAGCAGATATTTTGCTTGAGTAGGTACTTTTATGTATAATTTGATATGAGTAGATTCTCACTTTTGGTATGAATAAAAAATTGTTTATGCTATTCGGCAGGGGAATCTACTCCATAGTTTTAGAGTCTGCTATGCAATAGACTCAACTTTCTGCTAGGTAGAAGGCAGAGCTATGGCAGAGTTCTTCAATCTTAACCTGCGTTCGGAAAAATTTTACAAAGCTAGAAAAAATACGTGTGATCGGGACTTTAAAACGTTGTACCGGTGTAAAGAAAATGTGGAGTGGTTATCAAATCAATTTTTTGTTGGAGAGTCTGGAGAAAGAAGAGGTGGTGCTTTATGCAACAAAGACAAATTTAAAATATTTTTAAGATACTTGGGTGACCCGGGGTTTCAGGCAGGAGTAGGCGAGGATGTATCAGAAGTTAATAAGATAATTCAGCAAAGTGAACGGTGGATTAAATTTCAGACAAGTTTGAAAAATAAAATGTTGAGTATCCACTTTATGTACAAGGAGTATGTACTTACCAAACCGAAGTCTTTTTTATTCTTACGAAATGGAGTATAACCTCAGACTTCATACTCATGCTCACCAGTATATACTCCGAGTTTAAACTCAGTTTTTATTCATACCACCCATTTTTTTCCATCTTTTTCTGTCTCATTACGGTCGTAGATTTTATCTCTCTTGCCTGACGAAAACTTTAGGTTTGTTCCAACCTGTCAAAAAACTGTCCCAGAACAGTTTTGGAACCACTCTGTATACAAATTCCGGTTTCTACACAAAAATTTAAGGTTTTGTGCAGAATCCTGATTGTAATATTACAGTTTCCAGCTAAGTTGGAACAAAGCTTTTATAAATCACACTCTCATGCAGCTTGAAAAATTACAAAATTTAAAAAAAAATTGTATGGAAAGAGAATTTTTAAAGGCTTGTGAAGACATTATGTCTTAGGGCGAAATTATGGACCAACTGGTAAGTGTCTGGTTGTTACCTAGCAGGTACTTTCTATTATCTAGAGCATAGAAAGTACCTGCTAGGTAACAACCAGAGGTTTACCAGTCAGTCCAAAATTTGGCCCTTAATATGAGAAAAGGCTGGTAAAATTGTCACCCACCACCAGTCTACTATCAGATGAGTATCTCCAGCATCAAGGTCCTAAAGTTAATAGGTTGCCTGGTAATTGGTAACTTGATGACGCATCTGGGGTGCCTTATGGAGATTTACCCATCCCAGATGACGGCATAAAGGGATCAGGCAATCTACCTCTCTCAAACAACTTTGCTTCAGCATCAGATTAGCATCTGTAGTGAGGTCACGTGGATTTGAGATTAGACAAATTTTAGTGGTATGGAACTAAGCTTTTTACATTTGTGAGAAAAAATCAATTTTTCCGCAAGGATATTGATATTTTTCAGCACAGTTATAGAAAAACTATTCTGCCTTAACCCTTGAAGAAATTTTTTTGAATGACAGACTTGTGCGGGAAAATTAATTTTCTGCACTTGTAAGGTACCTATTATCTAATATTCACAATCCAATGTCCAAAGGTAAACATAAAATTTATCACCTTTCAGTGCTATTTGATAGGGAAAGGTGATAAATTTACCTTTACCCTTCATCTGTGGACTAGGGATTGTGAATAGGATATAAATAGCCTGTGAAAACTCTGTTATTGCAACATTGCCATATAATGGAAACTTACATTATTCCTATAGGGTTGAACATTGGGTTGAACAGTGTTGTCATTCATTTTAATTATCCCTGTATCAAGACTATCAAGCAACTTCATTAGACTAGTAAATTTTTGCTTAGAAGCAGTGTCCGAATTGTAGGTAGCCAACAATTTGTGCAATAAAAGTCTAATTACTTTTACTTCTTCGGATTCTTCATTGTCTAGCTGGGCCAGCCACTCTTTTGTAGCTCTATCAGCCTCTGAAAAAAGACTCCATTGTATAGTTTTATTAAAGGCCGGTTTATTCATCTTCTGATAAACTATCAGTATCGGTAATCACCAGTTAATTTATTTTATCTGCAATTTTATCTGAAGATAGATATACCAGGCTATTGCAAAACAAAACTTACCTGTATATTTTTGCAACAGATACAAGGACTGTATCAGTTTTTTCCTAGCAGCATAATTGTGTTGGTTCATAATGATAGTTTCCGATACTGTGTAATTGTTTAAGTCAAAAAAGCATCCTGCAGGATTCGATAAGGCCAAAACAGCTTCTTTGGAAATATTGTTCTTAAACTTCATTCTTCAATAACTTGCCGTTGTAGGATTGCGCCGGTTTGCAACTCCATAACGACGTCCTAAAAAGTTACATTTTGTCAGTCTGAAAATGTACATAATTGTTTAAAAAATAGTTAAAAATAAATTTTTGTTTAACCCACACAAACAAAAAATTAACAAACATCTGACAGAATTTGTATGACTACTGTCACTGTCTCATTTGGTAACTGTCAAAAACAAGCAAGTGAAGTTAGCAAATTAGGGTATTCTAAAGATTTTCAATATGGCGTGGCGGCCTTGCAAGTGTGTTTGAACTCTTTATAATTCAGATTATGGCGCATAAACTAAATGAAACGCTCACAAATGAACGCCCCAAAGCAGGAAATGCTTATCCGAACAACACAAACAAACCTTTTGAATTGTCCTTAATTCAAGAATCAAGAAGTGGCATTTGCTACCCTAACCTCAAACAAATATCGATTGTCATAAATATTCTTTCTTCATTTGAAAAAATAGAAAAAAATGTCTCTTGTGGCTATATTTTCTTCGTTAAGGCAACCATTAAGACGTAAGTAAATCAACTAAATAATTCTAGTAATTAGATCGCGGCTCGTTAAATTACCGGGGTGAAAATTTCTATATTACAGACACTTAAGTGATGGAAGCTATGGAGCCCCTTAAAGGGTTCCCGAAGAAAATCGAAGCGGCCTTAGAAGAAGGCAAGTTTAGCTACGCAAGAAAACTCTTCACACAAGACAATGTAAAACTTCAATCTCCAGAGTTGATTACGGTGATTGCCAAGTATCTCAAGGAAGAAACACAGCCCGAATTGTTTCGGTGTTGCGAATATTTGCTCGATATATTGAGCCAAGTATCGAACCCAGATGAAGCAGTGTACCAAATCGTGACTGAAATAGAATTAGCCGAAAATGATTTGAAAGTTATTACTCTATTGGAACCTTTGGCTAAGATGATTTGTAGGATTGAAACCAGAAGGCTTGTTCCAATTATTTGGTCATGTTTAACTATTCATCTTTACTTGCAAAAATGTGACGCACCTGACTATGAAAACTTTGATGGCAAAGAAAGACTCTTAGTAGAAAACAGCCAAGTTGTTTCAAATTTGAGAAATCTTCTCGAAAGAATTTTAAGTTTTTACGACACTTGTGCGCAATATAAATCCGATCAGGAAATAAAAAATATATTAATTAAATTTTTAGTGCAACTCTTAGGATTTCCTGTATCTTCTATGCATGTTGAGCTATTTGGGCAAGTGAAAACTGATGGCAGAATCCTATCAGAGCGTGTAGTTAATGAAATTGTCAAACTTATGAGCAACCCATTTGCGATAATAGAAGTAAAAGAACAATATATGGAACTTGATCCTTTAGGCATTGCCAATTTGTTCTATTTAATTTATTGTGAAGGTTTTGGTGAAGTTCCTCAAGTTTACAGTGGGGGGTTTATTTTTGAAACAACACTATACTCTATTAATGTATTATGTAAAAATGATGCAGCAATTTTATGTGAAAAAGGCTTAAAACTAGCTGAAACAGTATTGCTGTATGTTAAAAACCAAAAATTGTCTTATATTTGTTTAGATAATGAAGAGCATCAAAAGTTTTGTTTGATTTTATCAGATTTGATGGGGTATCATCAAAATGGAGGTGTACGTGCAAGGGCCTTGCAGATTTTTACTAATTACCTAAAAGCCTTTGAAATAAAAGGCATTTATTTGATTTTTGTTAATTTATTCGATACTTTATCTCATAGTGGGTTAAAGGGACACATAATAACACTTTATAAAGATTTTTTGGATCAAGAATTCAATAATGAGTACTTTAAAGGTCCAAAACTATTAAGGTTGTTAAAGAAATTTTGCCTTATTGAACTTGAAGATGCTTTCATTCTAGACCATTCAAACGAAATTGTGTCTGCCTTAAATTTGTTGCGTTACTTAGTATCAAGAGACAAAAATAATGAAACACTTATTTGGAATTACATTGAATTAATACAAAGGGAATTTTTGGAACCTTTAGAAAAAGGCATAGAAGTGTCAAGGACACGATTTACAAGCGAACTTAAAAATATGAATGAAGAAAATGAACAAATAGAGATGACAGTTAATATTAATAAAGAAAAGTTGCAGCAATTTCATAAAGAAGAAAAACTAAAATCACTTAACTCGATTATAACTACATTAGATTTAATTGAAAGTTTGTTAAATAGGCTTAAGGAAATTTTAGAAAATAAATAAACTATTTTAGATGTATGTACTTTGATAATTTAACCCCTCTTCATTATTATTGACAGATATAATGCCTGTAATGGCCCTTCACACAAAAAAGTACGAAGACGACATAAGAAATAAAATCTTGGCAGCTTCGTTGCCTTACGTGCCAGAGTTGGGTTGGTCCAAGGAATGTCTTAGCAGAGGTGCTGAACAAATGGGATACCCTGGAATAAGCCATGGTATGTTTACCAGAGGCGCTGGCGATTTGGTGCACTATTTCAATACCAGTTCCAATGCCCAATTAGTTGAAATATTAAAAAAGGTAGCTTGGTTTTATTGAATTTGAATTATTATTAATTAATTGGTTAGTTTCATGTAGGCCGTCACAGCCCTGGCGAGTTTGTGGAGTTGGCGATACAAGAAAGATTAAAGTTGCTTTTGCCATACATACACAAATGGCCGCAGGCTATTGCCATAATGTCGCTGCCCCCTAATGTACCGAATGCTTTAGCGGCACTTTTAGCTATGGTTGATGATATTTGTTACTTTGCTGGCGACAGATCAGTAGATGTAAGCTCATATTTTAAAACACTTATACTCTGTTTCCTTTTGCTTAAGGGCACAGAACCTCATATTATGAATTCAAACATACAAAAAAAGGGTTGAAAACCATGGGTGAGCATTGTAGGTATAATATTTCACAAGCACACCAATTTGAATACAATAGTGTCATAAAACTTTAATAAGGGTTTAAGTACGATATTTTGGGAAAAATCGTCTACCAGCGATGTTGCAGGTAAGGGGCTTCTTACTTTATATCACAAATTAACAATTTACTCCTTACAAAAATAAAGAATAATAACTTACAATTGGTAATGAAGATGTACAAGAAGTTCACCTAGAATCAGGAAAATAGAATTTCTTAAGTATAGAAAAAAGACTGGGATAACAAGTCTTCATTAACCTGACATTCTAGGTACCTGTATGATTGGGCCCATCCATTTATTTAAAGACCTTCCAGAAAATCAGCGATTAAAACCAGGTCGTCCGCATATCAAAGACTGTTGATGGAAATTGCCTTAGTGCAGTATTTTTTTAATGCTTTTTCGAATATTTTGTTCAAATAAATATTGAAAAGTAATGATGAAAGGATGCAACCTTGCCAGACACCTCCTTTCATCCGTATTACGTCAGACATTTGTTGGTCTATCTTGATTTATGCAGGCTGATTCCAGTAGAGATTTGCGATTATCTTGAGGCCTACTTCCTTGAGAATTTCCATAAGCTTCTCATGTTATACCCTGTTGAACGCGGTCTTATAATGTACCATAGAAGCATCCATATACAGGAACAGAAACATCTCTACATTTTTGAACTAGCACTTGGATTCTAAACAGGACCTTTCTTGTGTCGACCATAGCCTTGATTCAATACATTTTCATAGAGGAGAAGAATTGGCAACGGAAGCGGTGTCTTCAGATCAGTATATGGCCATCAAGGCAAGATGCTCTCAGGTATGTGGAACAGAATTGGCCGGAGTTGAATAGTTTTGTTCTCATACGGTGGCGGTTCTAAGTGGAGGCTTTAGGGGGGCTAAGCCCCCCCAAATCTGGAATTAGCCCCCCCTAATTTAAATTAGTGATGAGTTGGAAAAGTTCGCAGTCCTTGAATAAAAAATATTCAAGCGTTAGGATTAATTAACTACATAATTTCATTAACTTCACTGATTTAATATCTTTATCTAATTATTTCATAAAATTTTATTCAATTATTTCATAAATATCCGAAATCGGGACGTCTGGAAACAGAGGCAACCCTAGCCCCCACCGCTAGGGACATGGTTGCCTGTAGGTGTGTGTAATAAGTAGGAGCAGCCAAAGTTTACGCGCTGCTCTGTGGAAGCTCAACTATTGGCCTTTCATGAACAGTTTATCTTTTTTCCTGTAGGGTAGCTACTACTTCTTTTTTATCTTCAAAATCTAGGGTGGCATAAGCATCTCCATTTCTCAGATGGACCTTTCTTAGTCCAAAGTCATTTATCGGGTTATTTTTTAACAGGAAATCCGTGCCTAAAATTTCGGGAGCTTTTCCACTACTAATGGCTCTATATATCGTGCTATCTTCCCTATTGTAAGTTTAGCCTCCGCGATCCCCAAGGGGGAAATTCTAATGGCGTTTTCGATTGATAGATCTAGTGCGAAACTAGTACAATTTTTTCTATTTCTTTCTTTTTCTTTTACGAGTCGCTTAAAAAGATGCAAATACACTCAGTGCGCACTAGGTCGGTTGTTCACCAGTCCCCTTATCTTTAAAATTTTATGTGCAGCCGCAGCCCCTATCTGCAGGACGACTCCATTGGGACTATCTAGTGGAGTCGCCCTTGGTCGTTTGGGGTCGGCGAATTATCTCTGGAAAAAGAAACTCTTCGTTGTTGGCCGTAACTTTGGAACGTCTTGTCGCATTTATAAAGTCCGTTTTCACTGCAATCTCGACATCTTGGTCTGCCATCGTGGTTTCTTGTTTCTGGGAATTATCTATTCTTTTGGCGGTAGTTTTGAGTTGTAGCTCCTTTGGTATCGGCCCCGATCGTTTGATCTGTCTCTGTGGTATCCCCTATTCCTATTGTAGGGCCTTCTTGGTTCGTACTCTTTTTTGTAGGTACCCATAACTTCCCTCGAAACTTTTAGAATTTCTGTCGTTATGTTCATAATTTCTTTCGTAGTTTTTTGTGTGCCCATCCGTGCCTTTAAAATCGCTTGAATTACCGCCCTTTCGCTCATCCAATGTTACTAGGCTGGTTTTGATCAGTCATTTGTTGTATCAAGGTGCGTTCTTTTACCTCGCTCAATTTCAGGACCAACGTTCTCAACTTGGCGTGGTCCATCGTTCCTGAACTCATGAGGTAATAGTTTCGTAGAACGATGAGTGGACACCATTCTTGAAATGGTCCCTGAAAATCTCGAAGGGCATTTTAGGGTCTATCTCATAAGCTAGGGCCTATAATTCGAAGTAGAAGTGCTTGATATCCTCGTTTTCCTGTTTTTTTCTCGTATTCAACCTGAACTTCAATTTTCTTAGTGATTGTTCTCCGCTAAAGTCCTTCGAGAAGTCTGTTTTTATATTTTTTGCCAAGTTTGGTTTTGATTTGCCTGGCTTGATTTATATGCATCAAAACAGGGCCGCCCGGTGCAACTCAATATTTGCCGCCCCTCTCCTACCTGGGTTTTTTCATTCTAGAGCGGGGGTGCTTAAGCCCGCCGCAGGCGCCGCCAGAGGTAGAATTCTTTTTCGGGTGCCACGCCCAAAAACGTATATTTTAAGCCTTCAAAAAACTATTTGGAAAATCTTTTACGGCAGGGCCAGGATCAAGTAATTCTGCCAGGGGCGCCGACTACGTGGGTGCTCGGGGGCTCGAGCACCCACGAGACCTAAACAGTGGGTGCGAAGCACCCACGAGCATAGACTTAAAAACTGATAATCCTCTCTAGTTCCTGGAAAACTGGTTAATTTTGTACTTTGGGTTCCTAAAATCTAGTTAACCAAATGTCAAAATAGTTACCGGCCATCGGATATCGGTTCTGTTGGTTTTATCAAGGTTTTATCTGTAACTTCTGTCAATTATGTTTTATTTCCATATTTGCGTTTCCCAAAGTAACCGGAATTTTCAGTAAACATCTGTTGACCGATTCGGTTACTTTCTGTTCCAGCAGACATGAAAACCTTTCTAGAACGGTAATTTCCAGTGGATCAATCCATTTGTCAATTAGGAAAAACGTTCAACTTATTGAAAAATAGGTGGGCAACTGGAAATTATTGGTTCTGGAACGGTTCTCATGTCTGTTGGAACAGAGCTAATGGTTAAAGTTTGGTTATATTTGGACCATAGCCTTATATAGGTTATGTTCCGATATTAACTCAGTACTGAATTTACTGGACGCCGTTCCGATATTATTTTCAGTAGATACACTGGATTCAGTCGATTCAGTACTGAATGACCACAAGAGTACCCTGTTGAAATTGGAACGGCAAATGACAGTAAAATCAGCACAGTAAATCCAGTACTGGCAGTTGATATCAGAACATGGTGGTACTTTTGTTTAGAACAAGAAGAAGATGAAAAAAATCAGAAATCTTTTATGAAGAACAGCGTAAGACGCAGATTTTCGGTACATGCTGCTTGGAAAAGAATATCTGCAGGAGAGTTTTCGAGTGTTTTCACAGCTATCAGACCAATACCCACCACTACTACGTAAAAACTCCCCTCCAGCACAGCCATCATACCACTAAAGTTCGCCTTACGAGTTTAGCACTATGAAAAGAATGCGGATAAAAAAATTGCAATATTGCCTATTTGACTTCCAATAAGAAATACCTTAATATTTATTTATATTATACACCTACATTTATTTAAAAGGAAAAAATAATATTCAAAAACGTTGCACGCTCGTCTATGACAGGCAGCATAAATCTCGAAATGAATGGCGTTATGTCCCCTTGCTCTTCAGACGTCGTAGTGCTAGACTCGTAAGGCGGACTTTACCCACCTCCACTGTACCCCCTTCCGTGAAGCTTGTGTGCACCGCACACCTGAGGAGGCACTTTTTACCCACCTGCATTGTAAACCCTCTTCCGTAAAGTCCTCCATTAATCTATTTTCAAAAGGCTCTTACCCTGAGATGGCACTTTATTATATCCCTTCAATTTCTTGAAAACCAAAGAATATTTAACCAATTTTTCCATTTGTATTCCAATTCGTCAAGTTTGGGGTTGGCCCAGGTCAAATCCCCAAAATTTCAGATCAAAAGCGCCGCCGATCTAGAGATTTTCCCACGGTATCGAAAAACTTCCAGGCTCAAGTGCCCCCGGCTATCAGACCAATACCCACCTCTACTACGTAAGTGGTCCACCAGATTCACAAGCAAAATGTTATGATTGCAATGAAATTAATCTCATGGAGTTTAGAACACTATTGACGAATACAAATGCAGGAATAATTGAAATATTCTTTAGTTTTCAAGAAAGTGAAGGGATATGGAAAGAGGTACCTCTTCAGAGTAGAAGCTTTTTGACGTAGTGGAGGTGGGTATTGCTCTGATAGCTTTGAGGTGGGTATTGGTCATAAACAGGTGCATTAATTTTATTGCAATAATCAATATTTTGCTTGTGAATCTGCTAGTCTGATAGCTGGGGGCACTTGAGCCTAGGAAGTTTTTCGATACCGTGGGAAAATCTCTAGATCGGCGGCGCCTTTTGAAAATAGATTAATGGTGGGTTATGATGGCTATGCTGGAGGGGGGCTTTTACGTGGTAGAAGTGAGTATTGTTCTGATAACTGTGAAAACACTCTACTCTTTGCCCTTATAGCCGTCTTTTTTTTCCAATTTTAGCAGACACCGCAAAAAACTTACATAAGCACCAAGCAACACTAGTTCCCGCAGCTGGAAAACGAATATGGAAAGGTGTGAACTACGTTGTTTGAAATGTATTACCATTCCCTTCTTAGACACTCGTCCGAATGCTGGTAAACGTTTTTGGGCGTGGCTTCTGGAGAAGTTTTTTCGCCACCGGCGGGCTGTTCACCCCTCCCTCATAAATGTTGGTGCATGAACATCAGCACCCACGAGGTTTTCTGAAACCCGGCGCCCTTGTTGGCAACAATCGATATGTAAAGAATCGCATAATATGGGTATAATACCTACAAATTTGTTAAACGGACGTTGTAAGGAAATTGTTTACCTTGAAGTAAAATATGTCAGTTTTGATTGTATACGAAAATTAAACGAGAAGGGCTAGATTGAACTAAGGAGGAAGTCCAACACGCCATGCAATTATCCAAAAATAGGAAAAGTGCAGTAGTCCAGACGATATCTACCTTATTAAAATCCTTAAAAATGACGAGTTACTACACAAATTTACAAAAAATGAGTCCATGTTTATGATTACTGGAATTCCTGAAGACTACTCAGCCTCTGAATTTGTAAGGATAATTGGATATTACAAGCAGAACCAGCAATATCTAAGTGGTTTTTGAAAAAGGAAACTGTAAATTTCGATATGTTGAAAGTCTATATGTGCGCAAAGTATTGTGGTGGAAATGAGCGTTTCCATAAATGTGGACTATTTACCCTAGAAGCTTGCTCCCACTATTCATTAACACCCTGTATTCACGAATGGGAAGTTTATTTGTGCGAATGTAATAGGAAATTATATTGGGTCATATGCATAAAACACGAACATACTTTTGCTTTGGTTTTTTGAAATAAACATATTCAGCTTTGATGCAGGAAAAAGAGACGGAGGTAGAGTAAAAGCACTTGCTACACTTACCACTGATTGTCTTAGATCATATTGCACAAAGATTGTCATGGAACAGTTAATATTTTCTAGATAAAGTAACAAAATGATTTTTTGATAACAGGTTATCATCCTTTATCATCAAATTATGTCCCACAGACGGAATTTTTGACGGGTGTCGACTATGTGCGACATTGAAGATCCTGGGAAGGATTGCAGCATTGCATTAGGGCAGGTACAAATGCTTCATGAAGTAGTACTAGTACAATAACAGAAGCACTACTGTACTGCAGCAAGACTTGTAAATAAAAAGCCTCTGATGATTGACCCTAGTCTTATGTGCATATTAAGTTGGCAATCACAGCCAGATTCATAGGAAAACCATGTTTGCTGATAGTGGGGTTACCAGGGAGAATTAGCTTATTGACATTGTTAAAAACCAGTCAACATTTGCCAGGCATATAGGCTTCAATATTGATGACGAGCGGATTACCTGAAAGATTATGACAATTGAACATTTGGGCGTAGCAAAACACAACAAACCTAGATATGGAAGGCAGTAAAGTCAGTAACACAAACGGTGCATTTTATACAAAAGAGGGCAAATCGTTTCATAAGAAAAAGAAGGAGATTTCAACCAATGAAAATAAGGACAAGTTGAAAAATATACAGTTTCTCAACTGTAAAGAATATGGACATTATAAATCAAATTGTACAAAATCAAAGCTGGCAATAAGGCAATAGACAAGAAACAAAAATTGAGCATGCTTCAGTGGTGAATACAAGAAAATATATTGGTATAATGACAGTGGCACGAGCGTGCATACCTATACAGGGTGTATATTTTAAGTGATACCACTATGGCTATATCCGAAACGGTAAGAGCTACAAGGTCGGTTAAATTAGAAAAAAGTTGCCTTTTTTGATGCTCATTCAAGACTTTTTTACAGTGTTGCCAAAGTCCTTTTAGTTTATGAAATACAGGGCGATTTATAAAAAAGGCCTAAAATTATTTCGTCAATTATTTTGAAAACTATTGATATTCGGGACACAATTTAAATTTGAAAAGTTTATAATTTTTTTCGCTCTACAACATGGCATCTTCAAATTTCAAATCCGACGTTTCGTGATCGAGATACCATCATCAACTTTATTTTTTTAAATACGGACCTGAATTTTTTATGTCATTTTTGGAAAGAGAATTAATGGCGCTTCCTAAAAATGACATAAAAAATTCAGGTCCGTACTTAAAAAAATGAAGTTGATGATGGTGTCTCGATCCCGAAACGTCGGATTTAAAATTTGAATATGCCATGTTGTAGAGCGGAAAAAAATATAAAACTTTCAAATTTAAATTGTGTCTCAAAAATCAATAGTTTTCGAAATAAATGATGAAATATTTTTGGACGTTTCTTAGAAATCACCCTGTATTTCATAAACTAAACGAAATTTGACAACACTGTAAACGAGTCCTAAATGGGCATCAAACAAGGCAACTTTTTTCTAATTTAACCGACCCTGTAGCTCTTACCGTTTCGGATATAGCAATAATGGTATCACTTAAAATATACACCCTGTATAGTATCTGACATTCAGCTAATAAGTGAAAAATGTCCTATAGAAGAAATATTGGTGGCCATAGCGAGTCACATGACATTTGTATTCAGAAAGGTCTCTGTGTGCCAGATCTCACCACCAACTTACTATCGGTAAGTCAATTAATCAAAAACGGTGACACAGTTATTTTTGATTTACGGCATTGTAAAATTTACAACAAGCACACTGAGTTATATATCAGTAGTTGACTTAGTTAATGGCGTCTACAAGCTGGAAAATGTTTTTTTAACAAGCAGCAGAGATATAACAGCAGAAACGTGGCATATAAGTCTTTGGTCACTTAAACAGTGCAGATCTGACAAAGAAAGATGAGAAATGGTACCGTAGAAAGTCTAGAGTGTACTGAGAAGATATACACTGGAAAGTACAACTACTGTACAACGTGTAGCATTCAAGAACCAACATAGAAAATAGAATCAGATAATGGTGACAAGTTCATCAATAATGAGATGAATGCTTTCCTTAAGACAAGTGTATTATTCACCAGCGAACGAACTCATACACTCCAGAACAGAATAGAGTTTCTGAAAAGGTGAACCGTACCATAGTGCAGCGGGTGAAGTGTTTATTATTCAAGGCAAACTTGAGAGTTTTAGACAGAGGCAGACAACACTGTGATTTATTCACGAAACAGATCACTTGCGTCTGGTTTGTCTGATAATAGAACACCTTTTGAAATTTGATATAGCAAAAAACCAACAGTAAACGTTAGACCATCAGTAAACCATTTAAGAATCTTTGGCAGCACAGTTATGGTGCATTGCGTATACCCAAAGGGAAACAATTTAAATGGGACAAAAAAATGTTGATGGGTTACAGCGTTGATATAAGAAAGAAAATGTTACAGAACAGCAAAAGGTTACAGAGGAGGTATTAATTCCAATGAGGAGGCTTGTAATGAAAAAACATAAAATAAAATCCAATGCAAAAAATGCAGCTTTGGTAGAAACACACACACACACTGGGTTCTTGAGTTTTGGGTATTAGCCTCCCTCTTATTTTGCCAGTTGTCGCAGTTTTGTGCATCGTGCACCTTTGTTTTTCTCCTGATCTATTCATTTGTTTTCCTATTCCTTAATGATATCCCAAGTATTCAGAAGTATTCTCCTTTCAATAGTTCTCTGGTTTACTTCACGTTTGTCAAGTATAGCTTTCGTAAAGATCCAAGTTTGTGACCCGTAAGTAGTTACTGGTAGAATACACTGATTGTATAATTTGGTTTTGCGGTTTGTAGAGTCGATCTAGTGCATAGCAGAAGCAAAGTGGAGATGGGCAGGCCACGTGGCGAAGCAACCGAACAACAGATGGACAAAAATGCAGTGAAGACCAAGAACACACAAACGCGGCTAAGGGAGACCCCAAAAGAGGTGAATGGATAACATTTACCGGAGGGCAGGAAGAGGATGGCAACACATTGCACAAGACCATCACAGATGGAAATTGGAAGAGGAGGCCCATGTTCAGAAGTGGACGCGACTGGGCTGCTTATGATGACAGTAGCTGATAAACTGGCTGATATAGGCAGAATCTCAACAGCTCCTAAAGCTATGAAGTTGGACGCTGAAAAAAAAAATACGACGTGATTTCCGGTTACTATGTAAATGCTGTTCATAGAGAATAGCCTAAAAACTACCAATACATAATATATTAAAGCGCAGGAGAGTTTTCCTAATAAAAAATGGTTTGTTAATATACCCTATCTGAATTGTAGACACTTTACTACTATTATAAAATGAACTTTTGGGCGATTTTTTCATGGTTACCTATCACTTTCTATTTTGCTAAGAACATTGTTGATTCATTGGTCCCTGTCATATTGGCACATGTGGAGAGTAAGGCAGCTAATTCAATACCTACTATAGTCATGGCTTTAGTATCAAGAACGCCCCTGCGTTTCATCAAATTGAAGCCTGATGACATTATTTTCACAATGCAAACACACGATAGACCACTTAGGAGTGAAAAATTCATGCTGAATTTGCCATCAACCCAACCCAACTTATAAGTACCAAAGTCTTATGACTACGTATCGCTTTCTGGTCTTCGACCCTTGAGAACTTTTTCAAAAAAATTACTTTTTTTGGGTATTCTTTCTTCAAAATGGCCAGTATCTCGCATACCTTTTCAACTAAGAATTTTCATATGAGATACTGGCATTTTGCACAAAATTAGACTGTGGAAAAGTTGACAATTGATGTTTTATTCTTAACGTATGAAAATGGTAGATTTGGAGATGTGATGAAAAATAGAAATTCTCATTGAGGATTCAGTGCCTGCTAAGCAAAATGAAAAGAGCATAAAACCCCTCAAATAACACAATTACTGTTCTAGTTCAATTGGTACATGCGCCGATTAGGTGTAGCAGGCGTCTACAAAGCAACCGAACTATACATGATACAAGACAAATCTCCCGAACAAAAAGACACTTGGGCTTTTTTGAACAGAAGAATGGATGAAGCAATGCAACTCCAGGAAATAATAAGCAAGTCGGAAATCGCGGGACAAGGAGCCAAAGATGTTGCCAAATCAGCATTCGTCACCGCTAGAAATATACTGGGAGTAAGCTGGAACAAATAAATACATTTTGTTTTTAGTTTTATTTATAAAGTATTATTAAGGCACCAGCTATAAATTAAACGCTTTTAGAAATAATGTTCTTCTTTTAAAAACCAAATCAGCCTAGAAGGTAAGCACAATTTATCAATATCGTTTAGGTTAATGTGTTGCCTTATAACAAATCTGGCCAAGTTTTGCAAAGACCTCACTTCATCGTACCGCGAAATCGGATGCAGCAACCTCACAGGAAAATTAGGCACGTCACCGCGACTCTTTGTATAACAATAAATACCATCCTCCAAAGAAACCTTTATTGCTTCTTCAATCATCTCTTGCACCGTATCTAAGCCTTTATGGTCAAAAACCTTATACCCACTATTGGTACGCTCTATTCTAGCATGTAAAGTTTGTCCAACACTTCTAAAACTTATTGAAAAAATGTGCCTGTCTGAGGCAGAGTCTCTGACTAAAAACGAACCATCTGGGGCGCCTGATAACTTGGATTCTACTAGGGTTTTAGACACAGGGCCCCAATACCATACATTGTGGGCCAAACTGGAAACTTCGTTTTTGGGGTTGTGGATTTCAGTGTCTGATTCGAGTGGCTCAGTAGGATCAGAAGAATAAATGTTTTCTTTTTGAGATAATAATATATCAGGGCTCTGTAAAAAGAGTTGAGTTAATTGGTATTTTTTCAATGTAATGTTTTTACCTGTTGTGAAGTGTCTGGTTCAATATGGATAGTTGATTGTCTGCGAGGTAGATTGTTGTTATTTGAAAAGCAGTTTTTCATTCTTTTGTGCCATTTTCTGAAACTTTTTCTCAAATTATTTGTTTCCCTTGTAGGTTCGCTTAGTGAATTTGTAGTCAGGCTTCTTCTAAATGTTGTTACTTCGCTTTGGGTTTGGTCCGCTTTGGAATTATTATTGTTTTTGAACATTTTCAAATATCTCAGCCAACTTTTTGTCCTACTATGACCGTCCATATTGTTAATTTCTATTGTTTAAACATAACATTTTTATTAATAATAATTATTGCGTGGGATGTCAAACTATTTATTGTTATTCACTATATTGAGCAAATAAACCTTGAACAAAAATAAATAAAATATTATTCTAATAATTGGGCTACTATTTTTATCAACAAATAAATGTCACTGTCAAATAAATATCCAGTATCAGGGGCGCGTTCAGATTGAAGAGTCTGGGCGACGTCCAGTGCAGAGCGTACCCGATAGAGAGTGCACTCCGAGTGTGCCTGGCGATTCGCCCAATCTGAACGGCCAAGACGCATTCTCTCCTCATAACATCACTATTTATGGGATGCTTTGATTTTGATTTTGTTGCCTTTTCAAAATTCACGGTGTGTTCGTGATTCTAACATTTTTGTAAAATAAGAAAAAAGAAAATTCAAAGATAATCAACTCAAATCAAATCAAATCAAAATTGCTTTATTGTAGGAAGACATAGTCTCATTTACAAAGCTGTGGAAAATAAACTACATAATCATAATATCCATAAGATCCAACTTCCTAATAGATTACATATCTTGATAACTAGTAATAAAATTCTAATCACTAAACAATCAGCCTTATTCACGTGTCCGCTTGTTTATTGAAATTTTCCAATATTGGATATTGAGACATCTCAATATTGAATACATTTCTTATTCACGTGTACCCCTTGAAAACGGGATTGTTGGAAATTGGAAAACTGTTATTTAATTGAATAAGTAAACGCGGCAACACTGTAAAATTGTCAAAAACCTCTAAAATGTAACCTCACTTTTCACTTTGTTGTTTATTTACAAAGTTAGTTGTTTATGAGTTGAGTTTATTTATTTATTTTACTGTCTGATTTGATGATGGAGAAAAAACGAACATCGAAAAAACAGTTTGGACTTTACATAAAGTTCGTAAAAGAAAATCCAGTTTTAATTACGGGAAAATTGCAACCATCCGGCAATCCCAAAGATCTGGAGGTGTTGTGGGATGAATTGAGCAAAGTCCTCAACTCCTGTGGGGACGGACCCATTAGGGAAACAGCTTCCTGGAAAAAGGTAAGTAATCAACTTTTTAATTAATAACAATAAATATTGAAATTTGTGTCCTTCAAACAAATGTAATTTATTTTGGACCTATTTAAAACACAATAATCTTAGGCTTGCTTGATGTTTTTGCTGCTAAAAATGACAAAATACAAAAGTACCACTGACTTGCAGATATAAGTGTATCGTGTATCTACTCTTTACAACAAAATCTAAAAAAAAACTAAGAAAACATTTATTTATAGTTCATCATCAATATAAAAAAACATTATTGTTCATCCTAGGTCTTCACTGAATGGAAAAGTGCTTCAAGGAAAAAGGCAAGGGAGAACAAACAACTCTCAGAGCTGGAAGAAGAAATTCTTACAATAACAGGTCGGGGTGCTGTCAGTGGTTTGGATGTAAGAGAACTAGGAACTGAAACAACTGAAACAGAAGATAAGTTGCCCAAGAAGGAAAAAATTCAGAGTGGCCCTTCTAAAGTCAAGGTATGCGAAACAAAAAACAATATTTTTCTTATACTTGTGATCCTGAGCACCACCCTTAAAATATTATTTACAGTGCTTAGATAATATTGTTGGACATTCAAGTGATGAAGCCAAGGATGAAGCTTCATCTAGTAACAGTGAGCCAAAAAATGTTCACAAGGAGAACATCCCAAAGACAAGTAAGGGCCATTTTTTTTTATTATCGGTTAAAAACCTGTTTATATTCCTTTCTGAGTTCAACGTTGCCAAAAATTAGGTTGCATTCAATTTTTTATTAGTGTTTTTTTTCTGTATATATATGTTACAGACCTTACAGAGCAGACCTTCTGGACCTTTTGTTTTAAATTATAGAGCCAAAGAAAAAACGTACAGGGGATGTGCTTTGTGACACATATGAAGCAGCCACAAATGAGACCTGTGAGAAATTGGAGGGAATTAGCTTAGCAATATTAGAAGTAGCCAAAGCTATCAATCGTTATTGTGACATTGTCGAAGCTTCCAACCAAACAATAGAATATGTAGATGAACAAAATGCTGAGGAAGTAGAAGACGAGGATAATTATTAATTAATAATTTATTATTAACCATTGTAGTATTTATAATCCTAGAGACCCAAAGAATTTATTTTTTCGTTTTTTTTTGTTGTTAATTTTTAGAATTTTTTTTTAGGTTGTATTATTAGGTATATTCTGTTATCATTATTATTTTGTGTTTTTATGACACATTAATAAATTTGGTACGTGTTAAATATTTTATTTCATATAGGTAACTAGAACTATATTCTCTATGTTCACAAAAACAATTTTTTGGATGTTTCTTAACACAATTACTTTTGGAAAACATAGTCAGTTTAGTTATGCATTTTAAAATTAATTACTTTTAGGGACTTCAAAAATGAACTATGAACAATATGAGATGTATATAGATTATTTGGGGAAAAAAGAAAAGAATTTAAGTCAACTATGTGAACATCTGAATGCAGTACCTGGCGGCTCTAAAAAAAATTTACGTGAGTGGCAAGAGGTATGATAAGTTATTGTCAAGTTAACATTATAAAATAAACCAATCCAAACCATGTTACTAATTTCAGTAATTTTCAGGCATTTTCAAATTGGCAAAGAGCTGTAAAACATAAAGCAATAGCGATTTACGTTAGTCAACACCTCACAGGAGGTGGATTCCCCACACCCAAAATATTAACTGTTTTGGAGGAAAAGCTTTTGTGTATTATAAGGTATACTGTGCATTCATGGCATGTTAGTACCTGAATTAGGATTTAAAAATCCGGTATGTATTTTTTCAAGAAATGCTTCGAAAGTCTACTCTCCACTTTTAAATATCTATGTGTTTCAGAATCCATCAAGAAACGTTATTAAAAAAAAGAGAACTCCAAAGAAAACCGTAGTATACCAAATCAAGAAGTCTAAAATTAGAGAAACAAAATTACAAAAAAAAATTCTTTCTTCCTTAAAATATAATGTAAAAATGGTAAAAAAAAAATTAAAATTACTTGTTGAATCAGTTTGGAAGCTGGCATATGCAATGAAAAGAATACTAAAATTATTGTTAGACAGTAAGTTCAGTTTTTAGTATTAAAGTCTATGGTATTAAGTATGTATTATTTTTAAATAAAAATAAAAAAGTACCTGAAGATCCTGATTTTTTATGCTCCATGAATTCAGTTGCCAAGCGATCTAAAAACTAGGAAGGAATAAAAGACTTTAGTGAATAAAATAAAAATTTACTTAGGTACCTACTGAATTATTATAAGGTTACCTATAGGTAGTAATATTTTACAGATAAAAATCGTCAGTGCCCTATTAGCAAGCCTATTGGGTATGTGGAAAAAAACTGTATTCTATGCTATCTATATTATAGGTACTACATATTGTAAAAATAATCTCGAATAATTCTATCTCTAATTATTTGTCCTTCATTGCGATAATTTTGACCTAAATCTAAATTATCTATGTCAATAATTGGATCATCATGCTCCATCTGATCTCCATTAGGTTCATCCATATCATCAATGAAATCTCTTCTTTCAATCAATATGTTGTGAAGAATGGCACAGGCATTTACCAACTTTGCACTTTTTACTGGGCTATAGTGAAGTGCCCTATGACCAAAACAACACCTAAATCTTGATTTTAGTATCCCAATAACCCTTTCAATAAGGTTTCTTATTGTTTTAAAATTGGTATTGAATCTTCTTTGTCCCTCATTCAAATTGTTTCCCACTATTGGTGTAACTAACCACGGCTCTAGTGGATAACCACTATCTCCAAGAAGCCAAGAGGATCTGTCACCATCCAAAAAGTTTTGCATCAAATGCATTCTAGGTAAACTTGTGCTCCATACAGCTGAGTCATGCACACTCCCTGGGTACCTTGCATTGATTGCTGAAATTTTGTAATCTGCACCACATATTAATTGTACATTTAAACTATAGAAGCCCTTTCTATTATAAAATAGAATTCCAGGAAAAACTTCATCTTCAGCTGGAGGAGCTTGAATTTTTATGTGGGTACCATCAATTATCCCAATGATACCTGGAATGAGAATGTCAATCATTAGATAAAAGGAAAAATGGAATTTCATTATTCCAAAATCATTTTCAGAAATAAAAAGTGTAGGTAGGTATTCAAAATGTTTGACTTTGATCCTAAGCCCCACTTTGAATGCCTCCTCCATTTACTAGTGACTAGTGGTAATTTTTTGTTCGAGAGTGAATGGAGAAACAGGTGAAAACACTTTTTGCAAGGACACAAACAGGCAGCTGGAAAGTTTTTTTAACATGCTTCTACAGAGATTATTCATAAAAATCGTTTACCAACAGCAGTTATCATCATCATTAGTATTCTACTCACCTGGAAACCCATCCAAATTTTGAGCAAATTTAAGCTTTTCTTCATTTTTTTCTTGATCTGTGGTAGGAAAGTGAATTTTGTGGCCAAAATGATTGTTTAGGATGTCAGTTACCAAGTCAAGACTTCTACTGACAGACGCTTGGCTCATAGGGCAATTGACATCTTGTCCTGTGGACTTTTGATAAGTGCCCTGAGCATAAAAATGCAATGCACTTAAAATAATTAGAGATTTTGGGATGCCATGCGGACGTTCTGCATCTGGAAGAAATTGCCCAATTTCCTCAATTAGATATCTTGCAGTATTTTTTGAAAACCTGTAGATATTTTTAAAAATATTTTCTGGCAAATCCAGAGGGTTGCTTGTTTCCCGAAGGTTCTTCTTTCTCTGATTGTGTTCAAGTCTAAAAGTATAAATACGATCATAGTTATTCAAGGCACTCTCCTTGTTGATTTTCTAATATACGATTTTTTTATAGCTCATACCACTCACCAGGAATAAAGAGCTTCCTTACCTTCGATTTTCTTCTTCTAATGCTGCAATTAACAACGGAAAATTATCCATAATTGAAAATAAAATTACCACAGTCACTTCTAAATTGTAAACATAACACAAAAACCAATAGATTTCCAATATCCAATCTGATAAGCCGGTGCCTGAACCACCTGCTTACAAAATATGAAACACTGAAAACTGTTATTGGAAAATATGATACACCTGAATAAGAAATTCGAT